CCCCCCCGTCGACAACTTTGACAATTTCCGACAACATTGACAATTTTCTGACGGGTCTCAACAATAGGGGGGGGGGGCAATGACTCCCTGGCCCCCCGACCACGGCGCCACTGGTAATCGCACTATTTTTAGCCAATCAGATTGCAAAATGAATATGATAAATGAAGAAACCGTTATGTGTCACTAGCGTTGGTGGATTGCAAATTTCATTCATTTGTATAATTTTCAAAAGGTTCTGGTCAGAGTACATCTACACGTATCAGGATTCGTTGCGTTTCTAATAGTTTTCACATCGATTACAAAATGTTTGTGGAGGCAAACAAATTCCTGTGGACAGCTAGAGCCAAATACGAAATTTATGCACTTACATTTAAGATCGACGATTACATTAGAGACATTGCCGCGAGCGGTCCCTCCTTTCCGCGGGTTTAGATTTCAGGGCATGCGAAAGGAAAGGAGGAACTGCCGACAACACATTAAGAAACGAAATACTCGTTGCCCACACAATGCAAAATTCCCATTGGTCGAAATCGACACGCCTGTCAATCAAATCTGACACGTAGTACGTAATTATGCTATAAATAATTTCCAGACTGAATGTTGATTTTATAAATAAACATGATATTCGCGGTTCCTATAATTATATTGGATAAATTTAATTGGATATATAAGTAATGTGTATGCAAAGGCGGAGCCAACTTGACAGGAGCGAAAGTGGGCGTATTTCGTTTCTTGACTATGTATTGTCGGCGGTCCCTCCTTTCTCCCGAAGGTCTGCTCGCGGTCTACAATTACATCGGACCATTAAAAACCAACGACAAGCTTCAAATCGTATTTTGATGTAAACTGTTAGCTGTTCGAAATTAACACGATTCCTGCATTAAAATACGTAACATGAATTGTTCTATTAGCGCCGGTTTGAAAACTTGTAGAAATTACTTTCAAATGCGATTTGAAGTCAATCTATGATTATTCTTTGTATTTTTTTAATCATTGTATTATACTGATCATCTTGCCTTTTGACATGGCAACTTGAGTAAGAGTTTCTCCATCGATAACTTTTGTTATATAGGGCGGCGGAACACACTTTGGTAATGGCATGACTTGGTTGTTCTCAACAATTTTCCATTTCAGTAACTTTTCTCGCAAAATGTTACGTCTCTTTACCTTGACATCATGGATACTTAAAAAATATTAAGTAGGAATTCTAACACAGAATGAAATGAATACGTATGTTGGTTAGTAAAGTGGGTATTGTGTAGAACTGAACATCTTTTTAGTTCACGAGAGGAACACGAACGCATTTATTACCCGTCGTCCGCGAATTTTTTTGATGCAGTAATCTCTAGCAGACCTCTATTATTGTCTGGAATACGCAGTGATACATATATTTCATGTTCACGCGTCTAAAATAATTTTTAAAATTTTAAAACAAAAAGTTAAACGCTATCTATACGTGCACTACGATATAGTGTCACGTACATTGCATTACATTTAATTTCTAATTCTAACATTTCTCACCTTTCATGAGTGCTATCCATTGGAATTTCACTGGTAAGAGAATGAGTCTGTAAACAAAAAAAGTTTTGTGATGAACTATTCATGCATTGCATGATCATGACTGATATGCGGAACATAAAGAAACTAATAATTTGGGAAGTAGTTTAGGTTGTGCGTTTGAGAAATTTGTGTGTGGTTACTCCTTTCTAAGTCGTTTGAATAAAGGCTAACATTATGTCAATAGATATAATGGAGAACAACAGGATTTCCAAACCTATTGTAAGAAAACCGATCGGAGCATTCCAATCATTGAATCGTGATGGATGGATCAGGGAGTGGATGGATCAGGTCAAAAGCGTCAATGATGAAGATACAGTCGTATTATGCCAAACTATAGAAATTACATGCATGCAGCAACCCCTCGCCTTTCTTAACAGGTAAAGTATGAAAAACTCCACAAGAAGTATTAAGACAATTATAAACAAACACTTTGCACTTCGCTATGTTTTCACATACCAGGGTAAAATTAACCGTGCAGAATTAGTACCCTCGCCACGGGTTTACGCTTGGAACGGGTTGGCTCGGGATAAATCGCGTCAGCTGTGGCCGGCTTTGTCTGCACCTCCTACATTTCCCCTACTTTCTGGAATTGATTCGTTCTTAAATCTTTTCATTGTTCTAAATTATCATAGTTACTCTGCAGTGTATCATTTCCTACCTTGTTTTCAGACGTTTGAGAGCCTTGATATAGGCCAGTCGAAAAAGACTGATTACTCCTGTAATATAGAGGAGAATAAAAATATTTCTTTTTGAGCTAACGTAGGTATAAAAAGTAACCAAATTTTTAAGTATGGGGAATGGGGTAGCCAGCACTTTTGTTTAGATTGAGCTTGTCGATGTTGATGTGTCTGTATTTATCACATTTGAAGTAGTATCTCTCACCTCTCCTCCAATGTCACACTCCCGATGGATACCAAAGATTCAACCTACAAAGATAGTTTTTTACATGTCAAATAAAGAAACATAAAAACAAGTCTATTTAATTTTAATATATCTATGTACACGAATGCACACGTTTGCGCATGAAATAATTAAAAAGCCTCACCTGATTACCAATCGTGTGTTCGGATTCTTGAGATGAAACACAATAATCAGATCGCATGGATTGGGGACCGCTATACAAAGCAACGAATTTTTTTGTCATATAAACGGGGGGATGAATAGGGGTATACAAATCCGCCGATCCGCCCAAATTTGAAGCAAAATCCGCCGATCTGACATGGTCTTGTCTAAATTTGGATCCGCTAAAAGTTCTACTATGAAGTCACAATCCAGGATCCGAACTAAATTGCAAGCAAAATCCACAATCTGAGCCAAAATATTACATAAATCCGCTATCCGCTGTATTAATAAGATCCGAAAATCCGTGTAAAACATTCGCCAGATCCAAAATCCAAACATCTTTTCGGCGGAATCCGACGATCCGAAAACCTATTCACCCCATAAACTGACGAATGTAAATGAACAAGAATAATTTGGAAAAATTATCTAATGGAGGATCCCTCATTCCTATACGTACATAAGCCGATTTCCTCGATATCTCAGATGTCGGAGAAATACGCGCAACCTACAGTATTGATGTTGAACTTGCATTCGTTTCTACTTGAAGCCAATATCTAACATATGTGGAATATTTATAGAACTCAGTTTTCACAATGTCACTGTTGCCATGCACAGCAGCATGGCGAAAGTATAAACATGCTTATTTTAAATCAATCATAAATTTGTTTGTACCTAAATTTTATCTCAAAAGCGAGATAGGTGACCAATCTTTTTTATTTGATGTACTGTAATAGAAAATGATGTTCTGCAATTGTACGTTGATGAAAATATTTTGTGCGCAATTTTTTAAAATGCGAAAATTTTATTACAAGATTTCATGCACTCGAAAGATTTTTTTAAAAATTGAAATATATAAATTTTTACCAAAATTAATATTTGTGGTCAAAATTTCAGGAAAGGTCACTGATGAAAATAATGAGCACTGAGCAAAATGTAAATAAAGTTGCAAAAATACCTCGTGTATAATTCGCAAGATTCCCCTGATATAAAAATGTCACTGACTAGTGATGATTGCACGTGGGAGCAAAACGGGCTTTCGAGTTTCGTCTACCAAAATCGAGTGGCCATTTGTGGCAATGTTATTTTGACGTTTTTTAATTTTGTCATATTTCCAATTTAATTTAATATGAAAATATATAAAACCTCTAAAAATGAAACTAATTGAATGCTGCTGTTCACCGTCAGTTTCTGAGCGCTAGCTGTATAAACAGCCTAATAGACGGATTATATTTTGTTTAGTTTCTTACTTTTGCTAAGAATCAACAAGGTGTTTGCTACGAATCTGTGATAATTTTGTATTTAATGACTTCAATTTTGTAGAAAGTTTAACGTGAAAGTATGTGTATTTCTAAACGACTTTTAAAATTTTTAATAAAACTTTTTTATATTCAAAGGTCGAAGGTTCGATTCCCACCGTGGCCAGGCATATTTTTCAAGCCTGCCCGGTGTGGATATACACTCAGAGTAACATCACACAAGCATCTTATTCACCTGAGTATACATTACACCAACACAGCAAATATCATGAATATTAGATTACACTGATATCGAAGGAACTAGACTGAGTTCCGAAATATCGCATACTCAAACCGACCTGACCGCGTAGCTCAGTTGGCAGAGCGTTGGGCTAGTATTCCAAAGGTTGTAGGTTCGATTCCCATCGTGGCCAGGCATATTTTTCAAGCCTGCCCGGTGTGGATATACATTCAGGGTAACATCACACAAGCATATTATAATAGTAGCCTATAGATAGAAAATGTTTTAATGAAAGCTCACTTGACATTGTATGCATGTTTTAAAAAATTTAAAAAAACATTGCTTCATCGCTAATTTTTTGGACTAGTACTATTTGTATTATTAATAAACTCAAAACGAAGGATTATTCAAAGGTTTTTCACAAAATTACAAATCGTTCAGAATTAGCATCTTTTGAACAAAAAGTCCCAGACAATTTTTGCTCTGTTTTGATCATGCATGGACGTTGCATGGGATAGTTCAAGTGACTCACTACACGTTTTTGAGTTTTTGTCCCCAAACATCCTGCGTACTCGAGCGTCTTAAATTGTTCTAACAAGCGCTGCAGTGACACTATAGCTTTTTATTATGCATGTAAAAATTATGAACTTTAAAATTTTAGACACGAAACTATATTATATGTTCCGCAGCTTCCAGAGTGAAATTGATGGTCATGAGGGATTACATGCAAGAACACAAAAGAAACGATGCAGATGCACATCACGCAAAAAGGACTATATACTGCATTTTCAACAACAGTTAGCGGTGTTGCAGTCAGTTGAAGGGCAGCAAATCACGGCGCTAAGGGGGCTATAGCTCCCACCCCCAATCAACCAAAAATGGTGATAAGGGCTATATTCCCACCCCGAAAACAATAAGAGTAAGATTGAAATATGATGATTCATGATGGTTGCCTAAAAGGCAAAGTGAACAAAACGACCAATTTTGCGGTCAATGAAGTATTTTGATAAACTAGTGGCCTTTACCACCCGTAACAATTTTTACAGGGGATTAAGCCGCCCTGAGAATATAAGTCTTGTTCATAAAGCGGGATCAATTCCCAACGCCATTTACCAGGTAGTTCGACTGTGCTAATTCGGCGATTCTACTCTGACCAAAGTCAATGTTTTTGTAACATATTTGGCGTCCAAAATCTTCAATAGAGACCTTACGATTTTGGGACGGCAACAGCAACGCCGACGGCCAAAACAAACTCCTTCAAATAAATGGTAGTCGATAGTTCGTCGTATATTATCAATCGTATGAATTTAATACAGTCTTAGAAGTTGAATACATGGGTTCTATAGTTGGGAAGAGTTCTGCTGAACCTGGTTTGAAGTTGCACTTGTTGTGGCTTGGAATGCAGCCGTTGTATCAACACGTGAAAATATGTGATTCGGCGTTGTAAACAGAGCGAGGACAATGTCTAAATTATTCATTTATTGTAATTACTCAATTCTTTTCAATGATCTATTGTATTGGTATAGCCGTTGCCGTCGCGGTTGCCGTCCTAAAATCGTAAGGTCTCTATTATGTGGCATTTTGGAGCCTTAAACTTTTCAAATTATTCTGGTGGAACATGCATGCCATCATATACGCAGGATCTTCTAATTTGCAAGCCCAAACCCCTAATTCCCACGTTTCGTGTGTGGCAATTATAGACCTTTCCCTTTCGAGTGAAATTTTGATCTAGACAAGTCTAGCCAAAAATTTCATCACAGCTTGAAAGAGCATCACAAAATTAGTAATATTCCGAAGTTTCGTTGCGAAATGTTGTAAAATGCGGATAATATAGCCTTGCGTAGTTTGCCGTTTTTCAGTCATTTTGTATTACAAATGGGAAATTTATAATCAGTTTGATCATCTGATTATCAATTTCCCGTTTGTAATGCAAAATGACTGAAAAAAGGCAAACTTCGCAAGGCTATATTATCCGCATTTTACAGCATTTCGCAACGAAACTTCGGAATATTACTAATTTTGTGATGCTCTTTCAAGCTGTGATGAAATTTTTGTCCAGGCATATCTAGATCAAAATTTCACTCATAAGGGGAAAGGTATATTGGATCTTGTTTTGCGTTTAGCTGAAATATACCGTGGCCAACTTAAGAGGGCGGAAAACCTGACTGGCCCGGTGTGCCATACCCTGTGAATCGATTTTTGTACACGTGTAAAAACAGTATATGGAAGTCAGCCATGCTTTCAAGCAAGAGTTCGTCACTTGCTGGCTATAGAGACCGCTAAGGAACCTATCATATAATGCTGCATTTTGCTTTGTATTTGCATTCTGCAATACGCGTTTGAAAAGGTTGGACAAAAAAAAAAGGTTTTAAATCTTACCATTCTCCGGGCGAGCCAGTTTGAAAGGTCTGTTCAGACTGGAAATGAAAATAAATTACACTAAATTACGCTGTGTAAATGCATCTCTCGCGCTATTTTTCCTGGTTGTTGGCATTTTCCAACTTATACATTAACAGAAAAATTAATATAATTTTTCTCTCACCTCAAAATTGTCCCGAGCTTCAGCTTCGAACGAGCGACGAACAATTTCGTATTCGACAGAATGACGGACACCGCCATTACTATGAAAATAGTTTATAAAATATGAGATAAAATTATTATAAGCTATACCCATGGGCCGCGGTGGGCCCTATTTTTGTCAGATATAACAACGCCCGGCTAGTTCCAACGTATAGCGACTATATGATGTGACGAAACAATGGCCGGCATAATTGGAAGGTTAATTAATTCAAACATCCTGCAGTGCTGACGCCACCACAGAATACTATACAGACAGTGGCGTAGCTAGCGGTCCTGCTTGTCCTGCCCAGCAGGACTAAAAATTTCCCCAAATTTTCTTACTAAAACATTAGTTTATTTACCTTGAAGCTTTAAAAATATATTATTATCATACTGTTATTTTGTATAATTTTCTCGTCTTTTTCGTTATTATTTTTTAAAAGTTTTCCGTATTCTATTACATTTACGCAATTTTACAGCTTGCCGTGTCTGTTACCTAGCAACTGCAACTCTATAAAAGCTCATTTCCGGGCAATATATTGATTTACACGAGCTCGTGTTTCAGTCCTGCCATTTTCAAATGGCAGGACTTGCTAGTATATTTCATAGTAAATTCATACAAGAAATCTTGCTTTCTGATTGGATAATTAGATCTGCGCATGCTCAAACCGGCTGTTTACAAATGCGAAGTCCTGCTCTCTCGAAATGGCAGGACTTGGCCTTGTATTGTCTTTACTTGCGAGCTTTCCGCGTGATTAAACCCACTTTTTACTAACTTTGTCAAGATTACTCAAGTGATGAATATGGAAATCAATCAGCGTGAAAGCCCATTGTGATTTGGATATAATTTCTGGCTTCTGCTAAGATATTTTAGCTCACGAAATGCACGTCAACATACTCGATCATGTATTTTGTGTCGTATTTTGATATAAAGTATGAACGTATTTATATTTGGCAGTTCATCTGCTTTATGCATTGCTGCCATTGCATGAAACGAGACATGAAACACGAGCGCTTATATGGAGTTTAAAAATGATATAGCTAACATTTAGATTTACAAAGTTTATGTTATTTATGTAGATATTTGGCCGCATTTTAATACACTATATTTACTTTAAACGCTACGGCAATTTTATTATATTTAAATACCATAGCCAGATGCATAGCGTATGGCATTATACAATCAGAGTACCAAGCGTAGTGGTCCGTAGTTGGTATTGAAAACATGATATTTTCCTCTTACACTGACTTGACTATATTTAGCTAAATTTTTAAGTTGAAAAATATATAGTGAAATATGATAAATATGGAAATATGATTTCAAAAAGTGACAAATTTTTTTCTAGAAAAGTATCTAATTTTTTTATGCTGCCTTTGGAGTATTTTGCCGTGAAATCGCAGGAAATGGCCATTCCAGACTTCTAAAATTAAAAATTTTTCGGGGAAGCATGCCCCCGAACCCCCCTAGAATGTTTGCGTTTTAGAGCAGGACCTGTCGAATTTCGCTAGCTACGCCACTGTATACAGAAGTCTATCTCCATTGTTTTTTTGCGTAAAGCGCTATTCGTCGTGATTCGTCACTCAGCAAGTATACCGTAAACAGAAGCAGTCACCTCCTGGACGTGTGCCATTTTGAATATTTCCAGGGGGTGACTGCTTCTGTTTACGGTATACTTGCTGAGTGACGAATCATGACGAATAGCGCTTTACGAAAAAAACAATGGAGATGGACTTCTGTATAGTATTCTGTGACGCCACGGACTACACTGAGTGGACATATCCACCCAAGTTTTCTCCAGGAACGATTTCTAGTTTCCCCAAATTCGCGAAGAAACATCGGTGCGGGTATTAATACATACATAAAAACAATTAGGAATGAAAAGCAGAAACTATTTACAAATAAATGGGACGATATAAAAAGACTATATGGAGAAATCAGACCATTGGTATATTCCTAAAATATTTACATCGACTGGATGTCAGGTTTAATTACAGACAAGCAAGGTAATCTCCCAAAGACTAAAGTAACACAAAGTCTATATAATGTATGGCCAGCCAAATAACAATTTTACCTCGGCGATTTTACCAACTCGTCATCAGATAACCCCAGGAATTTTTCAAACTCGTCGTCATCCAATAACCAAAGCTAAAACAATGGTTTATTCAAGTTAAATCTTTAATTTTCAAGCTGGACGTACTAGCCTCTGCGAGGCAGGCTACACCGTGACTTAATTAAAGCAAATAATTCAATAGCGACGCGATAATAGAAAATGATCAGATCTTCTTCTCACCTTATGAAGGCTCTTAGGTTTTTCAGGATGTAGATTCCTGTGCGAATTAAAAAGAAATATAAGGAATCAGTACAACAAAAAGACACAAGGAACTTAAAAAAATGTACACCTTACAAGCGACAAGATCTATGCTATAAAGTGAAAGAAAAGATATCTCGCTATACCTCAGGAATTTTTCACACTCGTCGTCATCAGATATCCCAGACTTCCAAGACAAGGTTCTATCCTGTAAATAGTACAAGAATTGTTCATTAAATTTATACCACTCTGTCCATTTTTGTAACAGAAAATTAAAGAAAAACAGATCTTGTTCTCACCTTGTTAGAGCTCTGAGATTTGTCAGAATGTAGATTCCTGAAAGAAATATGAAGAAATAAAAGGTCGTACAACAAAAACACACACACGGAGCTTAAAAAAATACATCTAAGAGACGAGAAGATGTGCTATAAAGTGAAATAGATATCCAACCAAACGGGACCGAGCATATACACAAACTATATACAATAAGGCAACTTGTTTAAAATAATGTAGCCTATAATCTCTCTACTAATGGAGAAGGAGAATGACTATTCGAGTTTGCTGACAGTTGCGCGGGATTGGGAAACCAGTTTAAATACTGGTTATCGTATAAAACCTCTCCTCTAATCAGCCTCTATTTTAACCTGCAGTTATATAGTTAAACCTAGTTCTAACCGGCTTGGTGCAACGCAATTTTACCGACTGGTTAGCTAATACTGCTTGATTGGGAATTTATACGCTAGATGGCTGCTAAAGTTAAACGCCTTTCGAAGAACTGGCCCATGAATTCTAAAGCTAATAATTAAGGCGTCCTCCTTACGTCGGCCTATTACGTCAAATCTATATAGATGACGCAAGTTAATTAAAAATTTGCGCGTGCGCTTATACCTTTCACTGACCTTTAATTTTCTTTGGGTCGCTTATTTATTAATGTTTTTATTTATTTATTCTATACTCATGACCAAATCCTAGACCTCGCTGCATGTTTCCGGGCTTACGAGCTTATTCTTAGAGAAAAGTTTCGTTGTTTCATTTTGAGAAAGAACGCAACAAATACACATGAGAAAAGTTTAAAACACATTATCTTACAATTACATCAAATATTATGAAAAAATCTTTTAATACACTTACATATTTATTCAGTAATTCCAATACAAAATATTGAACAACAATTTAAATGCACTTTAGACAACTATTTGCAACGAATTAACTTTTCGCTGTGAACCTATCGAAAATTTTCGACAAGTGAGCGATTCATTGTTGACGTAGATAATTAATACTTTGCGCGTGAGCTAGATTTAACCGAACATGCGTTGCATTGTATCAGCGACAGCTAGCATTGCCGCGTATGTAGTCAAATGCTCCCACATTATACCCACCTCAACGTAATTTCGACCAGTCTCCTTTTCCGGCGGACCTCGTCATTTCCCTCCGTTCCAGTTTCCAGCGTACTACCCTTTTTACGATAATCCCATACCCACCTCCACTCCCAAACCCACCACCACTGATGTCGACGTCAACAAGACCTGCAACAAGACCCCGAATAAATTTCTGAAATCTAAAATTAAAATTGCCCACTTAAACATTAAGTCGCTGAAGCGGAACAGGGATCATCTTACTCAGTTTCGACTTCTAGCCCAACAAATCAAGCACGAAATTATTACGATCTCGGAGACTTGGCTCAAATCAACGGTAACTAATGCTGATATTAATGAACTTGAAGGTTATAAAATATTAAGACTCGACAGGCTTGGAAAACTGGTGGCGGTGTTTGTGTGTACTATCGTACCAGTTCTCGTCTTTAGAGGACGAGGCAAATGAACTAAACAATAACAGTGACTTTGATGCTTCCGTAATTAATATTGATTCTGATATACAACAACCAACACCTAGTCAAAATATGTCTGAGAGTACAAGTAAATCTACAGAGCCCAAGAATGACAGAACGCAAGGTACAAGTGGTAACAGTGATCGAGTACCAAAGAAAGGTATTGCACTTATTGGGGATTCAATAATCAAAAATGTTAGTCCGGTAAAACTCTCAAAAAGGAAAGTTTATAAATTCACATATCCAGGTAAAACAACTATAGAAATAACTAATGAGCTTGCCAAAATTAATATTAAACCGGACCCGTCTCATGTTGTTATTCACGCAGGGACAAATTATGTCCCTGTTGAATCTATAGACGAATGTGTTGGTAACATGGAAAAACTTATTACAACAGCTAAACAGAAATTCCCTAATTCTAAAATTGGAATTTCTGGACTTACATTGAGACAGGATAGTGATTTAATATCAAAAATAGAAGAAATTAACGAGAAAGTTCAGAGTTTGTCATCTAAGCATGATGTGACATTTATAAGTAATATGTCAATAGATGAGACATGTTTGAACTCTAGTGGCCTGCATCTAAATGCAAAGGGGACTGCCATACTAGCTACACATTTTATTAAGTTCCTTAGGGATGGACAATCCTTAAGTTCACTGCGCCCACAAAAACATTCCCGTCAGGATTTTCCAAAGAACACGATAAACCATCTGGCAGAACTACTAAATGCGATAATGAACGTGAACAAGTAAATTGTCAAGATGTGCCAAGCAATTCTTTATTAGGCATAGATAGTGAAATTAACATAATCGCCAAAAGTAAAGGTTTGAAGATAGCCAACTTAAATGTAAATAGCTTAATGAAACATCTGGGTGAAATTCGCTTAATCCTTAACAATAACGCCCTTGACATTCTTGCAATTAATGAGTCCAAAATTGATAATCAGATTTCAAATAATGAGATACATATTGATGGTTTTAATATAATTCGTAAAGATCGAAATAGGTTTGGTGGTGGTGTGGTTCTATATGTTCGCCAAAACATATCATTCTCAGATAGAATAGATCTAATCCCTGATGAACTTGAGATGGGCTGCATTGAATTAAGTTTACCCTACAATAAATCACTGCTAATAAGCACATGGTATAGACCACCAAATTCTCTTATGAATAAATTTGATTACTGGGCAAGCTTTTTAGCAAAATGTGATAATGAAGATAAGGAGCTAATCCTCATAGGAGATCTAAATTGTGATGTCAGTAAAACTATACCTGACCCTCACACATGTAGGTTGCAATTTTTATGTTCTCTGTATCAGATAGACCAACTTATTAAAGAATCTAC